TTGAGACCATCCATCCATTCTGCTTATCCGGAGTCGGGTCGCAGGGGCAGGAGAGTCCGGAGACCCAGACTTCCCTCTCTCCAGCTGCTTGGGCCAGCTCTTCCAGGGGAATACCAAGGACTTCCCTATCCAGGTGAGAGACGTAGACCCAATCTCAATACTCACGCTGCAGACTTCAGCAAAGTGCACTTGGAGAAAGTGTGCAGTAGGGTTTGAGTGCGTAGTACACAAGTGTGCAAATAATTGCAGAATTGAGACAGGAAGCATTGCGTCATCGATCGCAACGCATGCCGGGATCCTGGTCGCTGTGGTACCTTTTTAAAAAACCTTTATTAACAACTTTTAAACAAACAGCAAAACAGTTATTTGAAATAAATTTACGTTCATTGCTGCTTTGTCTAAAAGTTTCAGAGCACCAACTAATTGTTCTAAAATGAACTAATTTCATTATAAAATACAGATTTTCAGAAAAGGAACTTGAGCCTTTTTTCCTGCAGCAATGAATTGTGGGTAATTCCCTTGCCGGGATCCGCATCGCTGCGGACTTGGGTGAAGTGCAATGGGGGCGTGGTCAACTTTTGCACTTGAGAATCGGGACACCCTATGCACCCCTGACCGAGAACGCGAAAATGAAGAGTGCAAGGGTGCAAGTGCCAGTATTGGGATTGGGCCATAGTCCCTCCAGCGTGTCCTGGGTCTCCCTTTAGGTCTCTTCCTGGTTGGATGTGCCCGGAAAACCTCACCAGGGAGGCGTCCAGGAGGCATCCTAATCAGATGCCCGAGCCACCTCAACTGGCTCCTCTCGACTTAAGACTACAAAATTCTAATTAGCTTTCGACCACAGGTGAGTCTAATGATTCATGTAAGACAGATGACTATAAAAGGGCATTACTTAATAAAGAAAAGCCCCTCCCATTTTATGCTGTCAGCAATGGCTCCACGTGGAAAGGAAATCATTTCTTTACACAGAAAAGGTGAGGGCTACAAGAAGATCAGCAAAGCTTTACACATCAGTCACAATACTGTAGCAAAAGAAAGATGGAAGTGCAACCATCTTACAGAGACATCCAGGCCGTCTGCGGAAGTTAACATCTTGACAGGAGCGATCTCTGATGATGAGAAGGCTGAAGAAAATCACCATGCAAGTTCGCTGCAGCTAGCTAAAGCAGTAGAAAACCAAACTGGAGTGACCCTTTCCTTTGACACCGTACGGCACACACTGCAGAGAAATGGCATGCATGGGTACCGTCCACGAAGGAAGCCTCTCCAGAAGCTCGTGCACAAAAAAAGCACACCTAGGATTAGCTAGAGCCCACGCCGAAAGAGATGAAGACTACTGGGGCTCTAGACTCCGGAGTGACGAGACAAAGATCTCTGTTTTTGGAACGGATGGTTTCAAAACTGTAAGACGTCGTAAAGGTGAGGATCTCAAAGAGAAATGCATGGTGCCTACAGCGAAACACGGTGGTGGTGGTGTCCTCATGTGGGGCTGCATGAGTGCTGCGGGTGCATTTCATTGATGGTATCATGAACTCAACAATAGTCTGCTCTATACCGAAGGAGAAGATGCAACCATCACTTGGTCGTCGTGCACGTTTCCAACACGACAATGATTCAAAACACACATCTAAAGCTACTGCTGCATTTCTGAAGAAGAACAGGGTGAAGGTGTCTGACCAAGTACGTCTCCTGATCTGAACCCAATCCAACACCTGTGGGGAATTCTCAAGCAGCAAGTTGAGCATCGCTCTCCATCCAGCATCCAGGCTCTAAAAGAGGTTCTTCTTGAAGAATGGAAACAGATAACGCAACATGTCGCCATCTTGTTCATTCCATGCCTAGAAGACTTGGTGCTGTCCTTGACAATCACGGTGGTCATAGAAAATTCTAGATGTAGTAGTTTTTGTTGTTTGCTTCAACCAATTTTAGTAAAACTTGTGATTTTGTGATCGAAGTTCTTTTATTAACCTTTAATGTTTCGGAGTTAAACACGTGTTCAATAAACCCAGCCTTGTGAACATTCTGGACATTGTTCTTTTGTTCATTGCCCTACTGATTAAATTTGTATTTTTTAAAAGGGGAGTATCATTTAGAGCACTGTACATAAACACATAAAATAATTGTGTGATGTCATAGGTGGTCGCAGGGGCCAGAGCAGATCTGGTACCTTCACCGAAGCGCCCTCCTGACACGGGATACACCTTCTATAGGGGATACCTACATCGGCACAACGCCTGTCCACGTAGACCCGACCCTTGCAATCAAATGCGTTATGTGTACACGGATTAGATCTGTGCACGTACCTGGCAACACGGCGAGGCAGCCAGTATGTCGTAGGTGTACATGGTGCCCAGCTGGTGCCAGCTGCCGTCCCAGCGAGATTTACACTTGATGCATACGATCTTATGGACGCCCTCCAGACAGTCCACACAGATGGCATAAAGATGCATCAACCGACCTGTACAGAAACATATCAGCTTTATTTAGACTGAACGGCAGGACAGAAAATACCCACAACCGACTCCTTTTGTGCCAAATTTGAATCTTTATTTCCAAATAGAGCTAAACTGTGCAGCCAGGAGGAAACTTCCCAGCTTTTAGTTTTCAGAATCTGCCAAAACAACTTCCCAGACAAGTGCTCCTAAAGCACTTTGGAAAGAGATGCATAAATATTTAAATATAAACACCAACCAATTAGATGCCTGGTGATATTTCAAAGCTACAGACCACTCTTTCTGATGCAGTTTAGTAATGAATCCAGATGTTTACCCTGGAGATCGTGGCGCAGATGTTCTGGGGGCCAAATCATCCTTAAACCTAAACTAATGTCCAGTAATAAAACCCACACTGACATATTTAGCTGAACCACATGAAGGATCCTGCAGCAGCCAGAAGGATGCAACACTAAATAAATAACTCTTCCATGCTTTTGCATATCAAAGACAAAAATATCAAAGCTTGTGGGTCAGTGCATCAAAGACGCTTCATGATGCTCGTTCACATTCTTGTGCAGAATCCAGAAATAATTGGTTCCTGCACACAGTGAGAGCCAGGCTAACGACGGAGCAGAGTGTTTTATTATTTTGATTTTAAAGCAGGATAAAAACCTTTAATGGTCGGTGTTTTGATTTGGTTTTGCACGAGTCACAGCAGCAACTAAAACCCTGTAGTTTCTCACTTCTGACTGAAACAGGCAAAAAAAAATGCTTGCGTTGCTTTTACTGTTAAAACGCAGAAACTGTTTTTTAGTCCTCTTGCTCTTAAAAACAGTAAAAAAATAAAATAAAAAAATACATCCGTTCATTATTAGTTTAATTTAAAGTATTTTATGTAGATTTAGCCTTAGAAAAGGGTGTTTTAATGTGCTTCAATTACTCAAAAATACGCTTTGAAGGTGAAAAAACAAAGAAAACTGGCATCAGAACCTTTTGTTAGCCATTTACGTGGGTAATTATTTAAATCTCAGAAAAAGTGGAAAATGTTCCCGCTTCCATGCTTTAATGTCAGTTAAAGTACGGAAGAATATACTGGGGGAAAATTAAAGAGCAAGTCACCCCCTACCATTACTCCACTCCCACTTTGTTTGAAAAACGCTACAAATGCTGTTGCCTAGCAGACCGAGAGGGCGGAGCTGATAACAAATACACACTCACACAGGCTCACAACAACATTGTGACATCATATGGTACCAGCTAACATTCTAGGGTACCTCTTAGCCAATAGCGATGGCAGATTTAAATTCAAATGCAGTGCAGAGTTTTCACCCGACAACGGCACAAGTTTTAGGCAGAAAAATAAAATTTTAACTAAAATGCACTAAAGTGCAAAACTATTGACTACATGTGTCTGCAGCACGATTAGACACACATTTATATAGTTTATCAGAAAAAATAAGTTGATTTGGGGGTGACTTGCTCTTTAAGGATCATCATCTCGTAATCACGAGAAACGTTCTCGTTGCAACGTGATATAAATCTCGTTGAGAAAGTTTCTTGAAATTACACGTTTCATAACTCGTAATGAGAATGCTAAACGGTGAAACGCCGTCATCTCGCGGGATGTTTCAATCGCATCCATTAGAAACAAAGCAAGATAGAGTCAGAGAAGCAGTAACAAGTCAGAAGAACATACACCTCCACGTTCGCCAGGCCGTCCTCCATTTTGAAAACAACGAAGAAAACCGCCTGAGCCCTCACCATTTCTTGTCCAAGCAAAATTGCGGGACTTCCACTTTGTAGTTGGGGTGCAGCTTTCAAAGTAAAAGTTGACTTCCTGTTTGTGCTTTTCACAATCACAAACGCTACGTGTTCTGATATTGCACTAGCATGTTGTTTCTGTGTGGGAAGTCTGTGGGTGTTTTAATGGGGTTATTTGCCTACAATTAAACACAACCTCTAGGTATGAAGGGCTGTCATTGGGTTGCCTTGGCAACGGGGTGGTGCAGACGGCAGAGAAGAGAGCTAGCGAGCATCATTTGTTGTTTCAAGCATCGTTGTTTTGGCGCTTTAACCTGGTTGTGATGGCGCTGTCGCTGCTGTACTTCCTAAATAGCCGCCTCGTTCATTCTGAGTACGTATAACCGCCATTTTACTGTTATAATCTTTCTCATTATTACCAGTTATTAAACGCGTTACTTCAAGAAACTTTCTCATTAAAACAAGATTTATATCACGTAACGAGAACATTTCTCGTTTTTACAAGATACTGATCCTTTTTCCCCCCGCACTGACACTAATATGCTGCCGTATTAAAGCAACAATGGATATTTTTAAACTTTAAGCCAGCGCTTTAACATTGATCTCAGTGTTTATGGAGTTAGAAACTTGATCAGATTCATTTTTTACACCACTCTGCAGCCCTCTGACGGCCAAAACCCATGTTGGTTTGTGGTGCAGGTAGGTGTCTATGGGGGCACCCTTTAACCTGCTTTACAGGTGTTAGCTGCTATGCTAACTGTTAGCTTTTTCAGTTTGCCGTTCGTCAATAAAAAGCACAAGAAGAAGTTTGGGTAACGCTTTCTTTTGCAAGTCCCCTAATTACTAAATAATTACATGGTAATTACATAAGCTGTTTTTACAGGACCATAGCGTTTGCAAAACGGGATTTGCCGTGGCTCCCTGGGGAGGATTTTGGTATTTATAGTAGCAAAGCTGGAGCTAGAATAAACTGCCATCAGGCACCTCTCAAACCAAGACGGGATAAAGGGAGGCCGCTAGGCAGCCCCCCCCCCCCCCCCCGCATGTGACGTACAGGGTCGCACATTCAGACGCAAGACACGTCAGACTGATGAAATTTCTTTTTCAGGACCTTTAGCTTTGATGTGACCTGCTTTTTGTCCTGCTCGACCAGCTGGCTGTCTCTCACCGACCCGGAAAAAGGCAACTAATCTGTTCGTCCCGCTCGCACGGCCAAAAGCTCCATGGTCTCCAAGTCCGTTATCTGTGTTTATATCCCTTCCGGCCGGCACTTGGCGCACAGTATACGTCACTAACGCGGCCACCCTCTTTTGCAGGGGGGGTTCCCACAGTCAGCGCATCACAATCGAGTTTTATCACCTTTCCCCTTTGCTCCTTGCCGCATTTACGAGACCCACAAATTAAGATTTATCACTCTGTAATGGCCTGTCTTATAAAAGAGGCTATTGTAAGTTAGTGTATTATTGTTCCTGAGTTCTTAAACCGTTATTACCATGTAACACTGGTTCAATTTTAGTTTTTATTTTTATTATTCATTCCCAGTAAATACTGCTGTACACAATAATTACACTTTATTACAATTACACACTTTAATTACACAATAATACACTTTAACTTACTATGTAATTACCATGTAAGTACTTAGTAAGTAGGGGACTGTAAAAGGAAGCGTTACCAAAGTTAGCTTTTTCTGTTGGCATCGTGGCAGAGCTTGGAAGTAAAAGTAAGAGAGTAATGTCTTTGGAGGCGAAGCAAAGAGCTAAAATTAGAGTGAACATCGGCGTGGCCTACCGGTATGCTAGTCTGGGGGAGCTAAAGGAGGCTAAATAATCATGGACTGAAGGTGACCTGGCTTTGTTGCTACTGAACTTGTAAGTAATAATATTTTTGGCCATGTTAGTATTAGCTAATTGTTCGCGCTAGCTACAGCAGGATTGTGCATGACAGTTGTAATTCCACTTTCAACCAGTAGGGCAGAGGAGCAGAAAACCATTCACTGCTACTTTAATCCAAAAGAGAATAAACCCTGAAAATGTTATTCTGCACCGATTCTTGTTTCGAAGGCTGATACCAATTTTATCTCAAATAACTAATTAAAAGGATACACTAATTTATATTTTTTAAATTTCTGATGAGCTTAGGAAATATAATTGTGCAAAAACAAGAAGATCTGTTTTGGTTAGACTGAACTGGTTTTTAGTGATGACATGTTCGCAAACTGCTCTCAAAAATCTGATTTTTGAGTGTCGATTTTGTTGATCTTGCTGAATATTGTCCATTCCCGATCCCTGACTGAATTCTTAAGTGCATCACTACATTTGGGACAAATATGTTCGGTATAACTGCGTAGTGGGAAATATTCGTGAAGGCTGACCTTGAAGGTGGCAGGGGATGTCGTACTCGATCTCGTCGTGGCGTGAGGGGCTGAGAAACAGCGTCCCGTCCACCAGAGGAAACTGTTCGAACACAGGCAGCGAGCGGTGGCAGAGCGCACAGTTCACTATGTTCCTCTGGCTCGCACTGAGAGCCGACAGGATAAACCTGGATGAAAAAAAATTATTTACTTACTTGAATTACACAAAAATAAATCAGGACGTTGAATCGTTTAGGGTTGGAAAAGGAGCATGAAGAAGGTTTGTGCATGGTTTAAAAATGGAGGAAGAGTGAAAAACGAGGTTCATGTGTCCCTAAAACAAGTGGATGGAATCGATTTCATAAAACGTTGATTTTTAGGCTGAAGCTTCACTGAACTGCTGTTACAGTAAAATAACGAAGGCCTACCTGCGTAGCTCCTCCCCCTGCCCCACCTGGGCGTCGTCCTCCATGCGAACGTGATAAGTGTTGAGTTTGTGACGGGGGATGTGGGTGAGGAGCTCCGAGAGGTCCAGCCTCCTCAGGAACTGCACCGGGTGAGGATGGGTACCGTCCCCTTCCGCTCCGGGGTTGAGGCGGTGGTGAAGGGCGAAGGACAGCTGCAGTGGAAGAACAGATCCGGGGTCCAGGTGCGGAGCTACGCTGCTGGGGGCTCCTCCCAGGGAGCAGCCAACCCCTCGAGCCAGAGCCCCCCCAGCCAGCAGGTGTTTCCTCTGCGGGTCCAAGTGGACGGCTGATCGGAAGAACTCACCCAGCTGACGGGAGCCCCGCAGACTTGCTGCTACGCCTCCTGATCCCGGGACAAGAGTGGGGGAGAAGGTGAAGCTGGTTGGAGGAGATTGTCCTGGAGAGACGCACGGAGATTTCTGAGGAGGTCCCAGAGGGGAGAGACCTCCTCCCGCTGTTGCTCCTCTCTCTGTGGAGTTTTGTCGGTCCACCGATTGTCTGCGAGGTAACTCCTGGCTCGAGGCCCTGGGAGGTAATTTCCCTCCTCCTGACTTGCTTTTCTTGGCCTCCTCAAAAGGTCCGTCTAAGGATCCCGCCCCCCCTCCACTCGCCCCGCTCCGACCTGAGCTCCGCTCCGACGGCTTCTTCTTCCGCTCATCCTGCATCCGTTTCACCTGATACCAGTCCGTGTCTTTCTTCAGGTGGCCCTGTCCACAGCGGCAGGAGCAGAACCTGAAGGCCAGGTCGTAGCCCTTCTTAGTCCACATGTTCTGCCGGCACTGCTTCTCGTTCCAGGACCGGGCCCGGCCGATGCAGTTGAACTGGACCAGGATGGAGCTCTCCCACTCGTAGAAGCACTGCAGATGCATCCAGTTGCCGTAAGGGCAGAGCTCGTTGTTGCAGAGCACCCGCTGGTGGTCGTCCTTCTCCAGGTCGACGGTGCGGCTCAGGCTGCAGCCGAGGGGGGAGGCACACGGCACCTCTACGCCAGGAGACAGGAAGTGGACAAACAGACAGATGTTAACCCATGGCAACAGCTTTTCTAGATCCTTTAAAAGTACTTTTATCTCAGCAGTTTTAATTGGCAGCGTTCATTTTATTTCATTTACAAATACTGATTCACATCAATTCAGCCACACTGAAAGAAAGAAAATCAAATTTGTTACGAAAAATAAACCAACAAAAAGTATAATACAAAAAAAAACATTAATAATGACATAATTTTAACTTTTTACAGCTATTATCCGTAAACTCTGTGAATCATTCAGAGACTTTACCAACATTTACCATCTGGGCCACAAGGGCGCACCCAAGGGGTGGCCAAGGGTGGCCATGGCCACCCCTAGAAAATTGTTGCCCCCCACCCCCCCAGGAAAAGCCAGTGTTAACAAATCATATTAATGTTCAGTAAATTGATCTAGTTCACTCAAGACATAATTGTAAAACAAAATAAAAATATTACAATTAATGAGTAAAGAAATAATCAGATTTTTTTTAAATGCATGTTATTCTGCTGCTCACCATTTTAAAAAAGTTTTTATCTCCATAGTTTTTTTTAAACACAGCAGCAGGTGAATTAACCTAAAAAATACATTTTTAAATTCAATTAGGGATAACATTTTAAATAACTGAAATGTTTTTGTTTGTAAAATTTAAGTCAAATGTTTTGGATACGTACTGTTATTTTAATTAAAACGAATAAAGGCGCAGTGCAGTACATCACTACGGACTAAACTCTCCCAGAGTTACCACAAGGACCAATTTGGTGTGCCACCCCAAAAGTTTCTTTGGCCCCATCTGGCCACCCCTATCAAAATTTTCTGGGAGGCACCCCTGCAGGGCCATAATTATTCAATCAGAGCTGTAAAACCAGATGAAACTTTCAGGTGATATTTCGATCATCAGCTTCAGTTCAGCAAACACAACACAAGGTGAAAATGTTCAAACCGTGATATGAAAGTCGCTCACAGCATCTATTTATGAGATTAAACCGGCCATCTGAGCCCGTTAGCAGCTCCGTTCAAGTCCTGCCAACTGTCGGGGCTGGATGTGAAGAGCAATGTGGGCACACCGTTTCAGAGGAGCAGCTTTTGTGTGTGTGTGTGTTTCCTCCTTCCTTTTGCGGTACAATGTCAGCTCTCTGTCTTTGTAACTCTCTGCAGAGTAAAGAAAAAACTCACATCTGTGCGTTTTTAGTCCCGGAGACATCTGATAAAAGTCTGGAGTTCAGCCGGAACAAACGCGTCGTCATTATTCACAGAACAGACGTTCAAATTAACTCATTTTATTGTTCAAGTGGGAATTTTACTGTGATTTGGAATCACTAGACTGGTTTATTCAATATATTTGCTCATAATAGTTGATTGATTGTGTTATTGACACATTCTGGGGAAACAAGGGGCTAATCCTGTTGAAGTGAACACAACAATGCACCAAAGTCCTGTGTCTGCCCTATTTTGTTTATTTTTATTTCCCAATGACCCACTTTTAAAAAATGTTTTGAATTGGGCTGAACCAACAGTTCTTCAGCCTTTTAACCCTTTAAAGTCAAATACAGCACCAACGTGTTTTCTTATTAATGTTTTTTCTTCACATCTCAACTCTGACTCATGAAAACATTTCAAAATTAATATAAAAGTTCATCAAATGACAATTTTTTTAATCACAAAGACCTTTTGTGACTCCTAACTAATACTGGCTACATGGTAGAGCAGGTGGGACTACCGTTGCCTTGCATCAAGGAGGTTGCAGGTTCAAACCCCAGCAATGTTTCTATGCGTGCATACATGCAGGGTTTCCTCACGTCAATGCAAAAAACACGCACGTTAAAATTGTACATCGCTTTGGATAAAAGTGTCTGGAAGTTTTTTTTAAAAAAGACTAAATGATGCATTTCAGCACAGTGCTGCGTCTGCAGTGATGCAGGCGTTGTACCGGTCTGTCGTGGTGAAGAGAGAGCTGAGCCGGAAGGCAAAGCTCACGATTTACCGGCGGATCTACGTTCCTACCCTCAACTATGGTCCCGAGTTTTGGGTAGTGACTGAAAGAATGAGATCATGGATACAAGCGGCTGAAATGAGTTTTCTCTGCACGGTGGCTGGGCTCTCCCTTGGAGATAGGGTGAGAAGCTTGGTCATTCAGGAGGGGCTCAAAGTAGACCCGCTGCTCCTCCACGTCGAGAGGAGCCTCCATGGTGAGGTTTTCCAGACACGTCCAACTGGGAGGAGGCCTAAAGGAAGAACCAGAGCATGCTGGAGGGACTATGTTTCTCGGCTGGCTAGGGAACACCTTGGGATTCCACCGGAGGAGCTCGCCCAGTTGGCAGGAGCGAGGGAAGTCTGGGCCACTCAGCTTATTTCGACTGCTGACCCCGCGACCTGATTCTGGTGTGATAGGGTGAGCATCCCATCACTGTATCACGACTGATCATGCTGACCGGCTAGCACACAATTCTCACCCGGGAGTCTGGGGATCGAATCCCGCCTGGGGCCCTCGCTTCTCCTTGCCACACTGGACAAGCCTAAGAAAAATGGATGGATGCACGGTGCACCATCTCTCTGCTGTAGAGGATTTTTCTTAAATATGTCTTTTAGATCTGACTCTACTCCTTTTAAGCATGTTCAGCAAAATACGCACCTATGTACTGGAGTGAAAAGGCAGCTCATGTCTGGAGAAAAACCTGAAGAGCTGCTGATCAGTTCGGCTCTTATAATAAAACAAAAGCAGTCGTGGGTGTTTTTTTACACAGGTACAAGTAAATAAGTGACTTTCTGTACAGTCAAGTTAGTAACTCTTAATTTGTTCATTTATGTTCCATTTAATTCAGCTTTTAGCTGTAAGATTTGGGTTTTTGCTTTCTAACGCATGTCTTCTTTACCCTGACCTGCTTGCATTAGCTGACGTGCACGTTTTCTTAAGGCCATATTGAGGAGGGCATGCAGCCCGAATGACCTCCAGCTGGGAGTTTGCATGAAGATGCATTTGAGTGCGCACACATGCGGTAAGACTTGTGGAGGAAGGCCACAATTAAAGCTGAGGTGTGAGTCAGATCGGGCCTGTGGGAGAGCCTGCAAACAAGATCTAAGGTGGTTAACATTGTTTTTCTTCACTTTCTGCAGTTTTCAGGGTTTTCTTTCCGCACTGGTCCTTACAATTACTGCCACAGGCTGAGGCTGCAGCGCAGTTGAGCAACAGCTACCGGCCGATTCATAAACACGCAACAACAAAAAAATCAATCAGTTCATGCAAGGCCTTGAAACGGACGTCGACCAAGTGACGCCTGTTCGCCTCTTATGGAGGGTTTATTTCGCCCGTGCACGTGAGGGACAGGAGTTAAACATGTGCAGCGTCGCAGTGCATGTGTGCCACGGTGGAGCGGACTGCCAGGCTGGATCCTGGCAGGCTTTCTTTGGCAGGATCTCCAAACTTCTCCACATTCTCTTACCAGTGGAGCGCTCGGTCCGGGGCGCAGCGGCGGCCGCGGCCACCGCCGCAGCGGCACCTCCCGCTGCGGCCGCACAAGCTCCGTTCTCCTGCTCATCCCCGCTGCTATTCGTGCGTTTGCTCTTCTTCCCCTTGCTGCTCTTCTGGTTGGGCATTTTACACGATTCAGAACGTCGGCGGCGTTAGTTTCGACCTCTACCAGAGGCTCCAGACAGCGCCGTCTGGCATTTCTGTGGACTCCATTTCTGCAGCGGACGTCGTCGACGGCGGCGGAGGGGTTTGTTTTTGTTCCGCTGCTTTTGGCTTCCTCTCGGGCTCCAGGCTCTGCTTTTGCAGCAGGTTTAAGGAATTAGCTGCTATAACCTTTAAGAATGAAGGCGTGTCCGTTTCTTGTTTTGATTCCTGCTCTGCTGTCTTCTTCCACCCCGTGACGTCATGTAATCCCGCCCCCAACAGCTGTCCGTCAACGTCGTGCTACGTTCAGGTTCCCAGGAATGTAGGGGAAAAAAACCAACACACAAGTACAAACTCCTGAAAACAAGAATCGGCATCTCTAGGGGTGGTTTTAACTGGTCGGGTGTATATTTCCGTCCTGGAAAGTGGACGATTGTTTAATTAGGATAATTATTTAGCAATAATCTCATTAGAGCTTTAGGTGAGTCAACATTCAGTTGCTGATTTGTTACTTAAATATATTAACAATTAAACAAACTTATCAAAATTTCAATAATGACCATATATAGTATTGTTTAAAATTCTCAAACTTTTGGTTTCAAGTCGGACCTTCATCAGTAGTCCTATAGATGTATACTGCCCCCTGGTGGAGGACTCACAGATGTTAAGAGCACTTCACTTTATACAACAAAAAAGGAAAAAACATATTAGCCAATTAGAATTATTACAATAATGTTTGCCAATAATAATTTTGTTTTATAAACTAGAATTTTTATTGATTCATATCTGAGGCTTGAAATTCGTGACTTGGAAGATTTTTTTAAACAACTGCTTTGCATTTTTAATCCATCCTACTAAATGAAAAGTAATAAAAATGACAAACTACAAATAAAATAAAAATTATGCTTTCTAACTGGCATGAGTGCCATACATTCAAGTTGCCCAGTTTTGTTTTTAACCAACTCAGCTGAGTATATAAAAAAAAGACGAAATATTTAATTTGTGTGCAAAGATTTTATTTCTCCAAATATTTTAGAGCAAACCAACCACCTGCTCCTTTAATGTGTTATTGCCAATGCAAAATACAGTAATGATGCACTAGAATGTACTATTCAAACCTCCCAGTAGATCATAGAAATAGTTGGAGGTTTCAGCACCATCCAGATCATAGTTCATGTTTAAAAATTCACTTGAAAGCAACAGCAGGACACTCAACACACGGGGACGCAAAACAGCAACTTCCTCACTCTTGTTTTTATTCAGAAAACAAAATTTGGTTGTTGATTTGGTCCTGAGAATGACATTACTCTAATCATTTTTCACCAATCAAAATATTAATGTAGAGCCAAAAAAGCTTAAGTAATACATTCAACATTTTGTCACTGGTTCTTGTTGCACACGAGAGAGCAGATTTTGGAGTTTATAAAAAACTGGAAAACAAAGCAACTTTTTGTTCTTGTGATGGAAGAAAAAGCAGCACCTGGTTTTTCTAGTCATAACATCTAAAAAAGGAGCATTTTTTTTACATTTCCAGAAGTTCTGTTAAAATCTTATCAAAAGTCCACAAGCGGTAGAAGACGTGGATCGTGTAAACAGTAGATCAGCTGAAAACCACCATTCCTACCAGATTTACTAGTATTTCTAAACAAAAACACCCACCACAATCCCTGATATTTAGATTTATGCAATGATAACTATCTCTAAAGGGAAATCAGACTTTGCCCAGTGATAATAAACTCAGAGAGCTCCAATTAACTACGCTAAAGGTCTTGTGCAACACTTTCACAAACACTGAAACGATTATGAAAGGCATTTGGGTTTGATCCACACTGTTCCCAAAACACAAACAAAACAAAACAAAAAAAAAAACCAAAGTTTTGCATACTAGCTTTGTGGAATCGTGATGTCAGCACCGGAGGATGACGATACCTGCGGCTGATAAAATGGCAGCATCTGAGAAGGAAAAATAACCGCTCCTCGACGTGATTTTAAGCTCTCTTCACTCATCAGAAATAAGAAACTACAAAAGTAAATATTCCAAAGGAGGCTGGTTGTGATAGAAAATTCATGTCTGCTTTAATTTATTTGGAGAATTAACTCCTTCATTCACAAAAACCTCAAAGACTTCACGATGTAATGCTAACGGGGCCGGAAGCTTCAAGTCTACACAGTCTGGGTTCATCTGATGCAGACTTTTGTGCTTTTCAGAAAATGTTTCAGTGTGAAATGAACTTTTGTAGTTGCTGAGCCCCCAAACAAACGATTAATTTAAAAAAACTGGCACATTTAGGTCTGTAAGCTTTCTGTCTGATCTGATTGGTTATTGTGCATCACTCAAAATAGCAGGTCTGTAAAAAAAATAAAAGAGGAGGAGGATGACAATGAAAGTAGATGCAAGTGCACAGCAGGAGCTTCGTGTTAGGAAGGATTCGGCCGGACCCACAGCTCCTAAAGTGTGTCCGGATCCAAACTTTGGTCTCATTCTTACAGCAGGATGATTTCAACATTGTCGTGGACGCCCTGCAGAAGCAGCTCGCTCTGGAAGTCGATGATCTTCCTCTTCTTGGCTGCCTTCAGGGTGCCCACCAAGGCCTCGAAGATGTTAGCGCATCGGTCATCGTTAAATAAAACCCCAAACTTAACGCTAGTCTGACCACTGCCGTCTGAATAATAAACAACAAAGACAACACGTAGCTTAGATTTGCATTTAAGTCACCTTGAATGATAAAAAATCTGACACTTTAATTGTATGAAGTTAAAGTGCAAAACAGTGGTAAACCTGACAGATTATGGATATATTTAAGTGTTGAGACATGCAAGTGATCAGTTTAATTATTTCTGAGGCATTGCTTACATTTTATATGAATGAATGATAAACAAATGCTTAAACCAAAACACCAGGACTCACTTTTACTGCCAAGTCGGTGAATCTCCTCCACAAGCAGTTTTATTTCATGGGACACGTCCATTGTTCCTGAAAGGAAAAATAAACATTTTTGTGGAATTTGTCATTTTAACTGATATTTCGCGGATAATTCTAGCTAATCGGTAATTTAATCAAATCAATACCCTTAAATTTCACCATATTTATTGATTTACTAATATAATATGATTTCCTTTGACAGAAACAGTTGGATGATGATCACATTAAGCAGCAGAATCATGACAGCTACTGGAACAAGCTCCAACCTGAACAGGGCAGACTGTCACCAATGCGGAAATACAGGTTAGCACTCCCGGCTAGCAAACACAAAGGCTAAGGCTGACTGACAACTCTCATTATTCAGATTTTTAAACAATTCTTAAATTTTGCTTAATACTGCTCAAACCGGTCACCTTTTGTCGTGACTTCCGGTGTTAAATGAATATTTTTCTACGCAGCTAAACGCGCGGCAGACAAATGATACGCTGAAGGAGACGGACGAGTTGTTTCTGTCGACTGCGTCGATCGATACATGATTAAATAAAAGTTCACATAAAGCAAAGCGGTGAGACGGCACTGTGGTGGTCGTTTTACCTCGTTAAATATTGTGTTTTAACCTGCACTCAGGAGGTGGTTGGATGAGTTTCTGCTGGAGTCGGCAACCGGCGAAATGCTGCTGCATTCAGTGTTTGCTCGGAAATTAAACCTTCACAATCCAATTTAGGCAGAAATAACAACCGGTTTAATTACCTTTTAGTTATGTGATGCAATTATAAAAGTTTAAACCAAGTAAATATTAATGAGTAAGGTGGTGGGTTCTCACTTATGTGTCAGACTTTAGATAATCTTTTGTTTCCGTGTCCTGTCGCCAGGGGTGTTTCTAGACCAATTTTTCCAGGGGGGCCACAGTGGGGCCAGTATTTTTTTCATGGGGGCACAAGACAAAAAAGGGGAAAATTAGGGCAATATCAAAATTCTTTTTTGTCTCCGACATATGACTAATTTTGTGCTTGTGCACAATTTTGCCAAAGGAAATTCCTAGTACTGTGAAACTACTCAGTTTTTTGTTCTCTTCTTTTTCATATCTATCTTTACTATATTTTGGGGATCAAATTTATCAAAAAATTTCTTTTACTTTTTTCATCTATGATCTTTTACAGCTGTATTTTACTAAAATAAGATTCAAATGAATTCATAAGTAAAGACAATGAACAAGTAAACTATTACAGTGAATGCAGTAATGGTTTACTTGTGAAAGTAAAACTGGCATGTTTTTATGGTACTCAGATAACAATTCTGAATGCTTCACCACAACATGAGACTTGAGTAAAAAAAAAATTCTAGTTGATTATTATAGTTTGTGACTTTATTTGAAGAATACATGTACTGTCCATATGAAAAATAAACATTCAAACAAATTACATATGTGCACAATACAATTTCAGACAATTTCAATTTTTGCCTTTCAGACTTTGCATGTACCAAAAAAAAACCTCCTCTCTCAGTTGCTTTTTTCCAGTTCCTAAATCCACACGGTGAGTCAAACACACTTCCTGCGCTACTTGGTGAGCTAAAATGTCTGCATGCATGACAATAAGTAGAGTCCATAGTAACAGAATATTCAACCCAAGGATGACTTTCATACCAGCTTGGCTGAAAGCTGTGTCTTCTGTCTCCTATTAATGTCACTGGAAATGTCCTCAAATGAGGCTGAGTAGGTGGGTCATCCTTGCACTTGCTGATATCTGAAAGAAAATAAATGTTAGCATGAGGATAAAAGTCATAATTAGTTAATTCAGAGTCTTATTTTATCTATTTATTAAATATGAACAACAGAAATGTTGGTCCAGAGTCAGCATGCCTCAAATGCATTTTACACACAATATGAGCTGCAATCACAGAGGGGTTGTTCAACACCCACAAACCTGACGGTAGAGTACACGGTGCACATGACAGAAGATGTCCCTCTTTTTGCTCCTCACTCTCTCCCTCACAGCCTACATCTTCCTCCTCCTCACTGTCAGGTGAACAGCCTCTGACCTCTCTGGTTCCTCTCCAACCAACTCCTCCTTCTCTCTTTCATCCTGCTTCTCAGCTCCCTCGTGACTTTCATCCTCTCTCTGTCTACGCTGTTCTTTATTAACAGCGGTAAAAAAGGACAAAATGTCCCTTTTTCTTTTCATGGCCGCTGATGCTTCCAGTCAGTGCTGCGAGAAAGTCATAGATAAATGAATACTGTGATCTAATCTCAACGTGTCTAAGGCTTAAAATGAAGCAACTTTATGTTTATTTTACAGTTAATGTTACAAAGGAAAAACAAATCAGTGTTAACTGTGGATGGACTCAGTTAGGAACTTAAAAGTAAATGACAGAAACGCGCGACTATGATCAAAACACTGATGTCAGGAAAATAAACTGTATTGCTTACCCTCGTCTCTTAGCGTCTTTTCCATTAGTCGTGCTCAATAATTTCTTCGGGTCCCATTTAAACTATTTTTAATCTTTTATTCAAAAATCCACCGGGTAAGCAGTTCTGTCCACAGAGTGTGCTGCGCTCTAAAGGCTCTGTGTGAAACGCTGCAGCGCATTAGTTCCTGTCTCCGAGGCAGCGCGGGGGAAAAAAATCTGATCTCTTCAGCACAGGGGCCATAACAGGGGCCAGAGCCGGTTCTATAGGGGCCCAGGCCCCTGTGGGCCCCTGTTTAAAACCGCCAATGCCTGTCTGGCTGTGAAGCAAACACACAAACATAAAACAATAAGGAACAAGAGTCTGCTTCTAGACCCGCAGAAAGAGAGAAGAAAATAAAGGGACGCAACAACAATACAACAAGATCAAGCTATCACTGCGTCATCTTGATGAAGAAATATAAAATCAACATTGTTTAACTGAACAATCACACGATAATAAATCATAGTGCGTTAAGTGCCACTATAGCCTTAAGACATGTGTTGAACGTGCCCAAGCCCATACTTATGAGAGCACCATGTGAGCACCTGTGTGTGTACACGCACTTGTTTATGCAAGGTTTCTCTATAAAAGCGTCCAATAGAGAGTGTGAGGGGCCACACATCTGCCCCCTAAAGATGTGCAGGAGACGGAGGGAGCTCCAAGTCCCAGAGATCCAGGAGCTGCCCCAGAGCACAGGAACCTCAGGGTGACTGCCACCAGAAAGGCCCCCGCCCCCCTCGAGAGGCGCAGAGAATCACCCCGGGGGGCCACAACCAGCAGCCGGCAGAGTCCGGGGAGATATCGGCGGCAAGCCCACAGGCCCGCCTGCAGCCTCCCACCCCCTAGCCGACCGAGCCTGGGACCCAGCAACCCGGGACCCAGGGACGACCACCCTTGCTGGGGACCCAGCAGAGCCCAGGAACCCAGACCCCACCAGGCAGCCTCCGGGATTGGTCAGGCAGATGCCAAAAATCTTAAACTCCCTGACCCGGGAGCCACGGCCCAGGCAGACCAAGGCACCGCACGCCACACCAGGTGTGGCAGGGGGAGGGGACATGAAGATCTATATCATTAAAAGAAGTCCCAGGGGAAGGGAGGAGTCAAAGGCCCCAACTGACATATACAGTCATACACAAACACAGTCACACATTCCTTCCCTCATGCTCACACATACACATACAATCAAAGACTTACAAAAATGCACGCCGGACACACACTCATGCTCCCCATACACACCCTATTCAATCTGGTCCCGGTACTGCTGCACATGGGGTACAACCATTACCGGTTACCAGAGTTTGACCCTTTCTGCTTGGGTGCTGATGAGCAGGCTCCCTCGCCCAACGCTGAGCACAGCAACCCACCACCCCAGACCCCAACCGGACGGCCGGATCTCCCTCCTAGCCTCCAGCCCCAGGAAGCCAAGCAACAACAGAGGTGTGCTAAGACCCCTAGAGCATGGAGATCCAAACCCATCCTGCCAGGGCCCAAAGGAGCAGCATCACAGAGCCTCACAGAGTCCGAGGGCACCAACCCAGCCCCACCCCAGCAGAATATCTACGCCCATCCCTGCATTTGCACAACTTCCGGATTATAAAAGACATAGGACATCCAGGTAAGGTTGGGTCCTCCCCCTCCTGGACTTCCCCCTCTCCTGTGATGGGACAGCAGAGGAGCCAAGGTCTACCTGAGGCCCCTGAACCCAAGTCAGGCACTGCTGCATGTTCCTGCCTTCTCCCCGGCAGCATACATGTCAGGACCCGACCCCCAAGGCCCCGCCCAGATCTCCCCACGGGGCCGGCTACCCCCACACCCCGAGCCCCCAGGCCCCCACCCAGACCCGCCCAGGGGCAATGTAGTTGCCGGGCAGTGACCCATGGCCACCGCCAAGACCTCCAATGGGCCCCACTCACAACCGCCAGTAGTCCACCCCCCGAGGCAACCCAAGCACCTCCAGAGGGGGGCAACGGCCCCCCAGTCCCAGACACCCCCCAGTGAACCCACCTCCAAGGAATGTCCAAATACTCCAAACTCAGACCCCCCACCCCCCCACCCACATCACCCCGCAGGACAATATCAGTGGTCCCCCGTCATCGCTATATGATGGAACCGATCAAAGGAGCCCAGAGAGATTGATTTGAAGTGGAAGCAGAGGCTATATCAAGTGTAATATGATCTAACAGAAGATTTCTATACTGGTTGATGCAGAGGGTTTCTCTATTTTTCCAATTCAAGAGGATAGTTTTCTTAGCGATGCATATGGCAGTCAGAACCACGTGAGCCAAAGATGTTTCAATTGGGACATCGTCCAAGTTTCCCAGTAAACAAAGAGAGGGGGTGGTTGGGATATGACATTTCAGACACTTTGACAGGTCTTCACATACTCTACCCCAAAATTCCTGGACAGGTGGACAGGACCACAGTACGTGAATGTAATTGTCAGGAATGTTGTTTGTGCAGTGTGTACTGGTGTCAGATGACACAAACCCCATCTTGATCATCAGATGACCTGTATAGTGTACTCTGTGTAGAATTTTGTACTGAATTAATTGTAAATTGGAGTGTCTGATCATTTTAAAAGTTTTTAAACAAGTTTGGGACCAGAAGTTCTGGTCAAAGCTGACTGATAGATCCACCTCCCATTTTTCAATAGGGATTCTATCGTCTATTTTGGACAGTGTCTAATATACTTTAGACAGTAGTTTAGGGGGTTTGAGATTATAGAAGTCTAATACCATTGGTGGTGTTTGTAATTCTATTTTATTGAGCTTAAATTTTTGTTTGACTACAGATTTAATTTGGTGATATTCTAAAAAGCTATTCTTATCCATTCCAAATTGGGAGACTATTCTATTAAATGGGGTGAAGTCCAATCCTTCATATGTGTTCCAGGTATAGGATTCCTGTATTTTTCCAGTTCGGAAGGTTCATAATTTTATTATTTTGCAAAATATCAGGATTATTCCAGATAGGTGTGCATCTGCATGGTACTAGTGAAGACTCTGTCATTTTTAGATACTCCCACCATGCTGTCAGAGAGGTGCTGATACTAATACTTTTGAAGCCTTCATGTTTTCTTATGCTTGAACTAATAAATGGTAAGTCTGAAAGCTCTATCGTATTGCAGTGTCTGTTCTATATCTAACCAGGACTCATCTAGTGGGTTACCTTGCAACCATCTTGGTATATATTGCAGCCTGTTGGCTAAGAAATAATAATATAAGTTGGGTAGATCCAGTCCTCCTCTGTCTTTGGTCTTCTGAAGCATTTTTAACCTAATTCGTGCAGGTTTATCCTGCCAAAGGAATTTGGTAATTGGTCCAGAGCTCTAAACCAGTCAGCTGGTGGTTTGTTTGGGATCATTGAAAATAAGTAATTTATTCTGGGTAAGACCATCATTTTAATTGTAGCAACTCTTCCCATGAGGGATATTGGTAAGGATTTCCATCTTGCAAGATCATCTTCTACTTTCTTTAAAAGTGGGATGTAGTTTAGTTTGGTTAGATCTGCCAACTTGGGAGAGACATTAATTCCCAGGTATGTGATATTCCCTGACTCCAATTGTGTATTAAGTAAATTGACAAAAGAGAAATTAATTGGTAGAACTGTGGATTTTAACCAGTTTATAGAGTAATCTGAAACTTTAGAAAAATAGTTTATCAGTTCTATTGCTTGGGAGAGAGAGGATTGAGAATTCCGGAGAAAGAGTAAAACATCATCTGCATAAAGACTGATCTTATGTTCTATTTTCTTACACTTTATCCCTTTATACCTGTTGTTTGCCTAATTGCTGCTGCTAGTGGTTCGATAAAGATAGCAAACAGTGAGGGGGAGAGTGGGCATCCCTGCCTGGTCCCCCTCTGAAGATAGAAGCTAGCTGATATTTGGTCGTTTGTCCTGACACGTGCAGTTGGTGAACTGTATAATGTTTGTAGCAAGTTTATGAAGAAGTTCCCAAAACCAAATTTATATAAAGTTGCAAATAAGAACTTCCAGTTAACTCTATCAAAAGCCTTTTCTGCATCTAGAGATAATATACTAGTTTCTATGTTTCTACTGTAAGAGAAATCTATCAAATTAAGTAATCTACGTGAGTTAGTGGATGACTGTCTACCCTTGATGAAACCGGTTTGGTCAGGGTGTATTATGAAGGGGGTTACCTTCTCTAATCTTTTTGCCAGGGCTTTACAAATTATTTTGAGATCAACATTTCTAAGGGAAATTGGGTGATAGCTGGTAGGAAATGCAGGGTCTTTGCCTGGTTTTAACAAGAGACTGATATTGGCTGAATTCATGTTTGGCTGTAATCTCCACTCTCTTCGGTTTCCCTCACCATTCTGAAAAATATTGGAGCCAGAATGATCCAGAATTCTTTGTAGAACTCTGCTGGAAACCCGTCTGGACCTGGAGCTTTCCTATTCGTCATGGATTTAAGGGCTTCCTGGAGCTCCGCTGAGGTTAGTGGCGAGTCCAGGACTGTAACTTAGCTGTCTGATAATTTAGGAAGTGTTATCCTGTCAAGGAACTCATCAATCTCGTTATCTGATGGGTTTTTCTGTGGTGATTACAAAGTTTGGCAAAAGTCTCTGAAAGTGTTGTTTATTCTTTCAGGCTCATAAACTATATTCCCGGTTGAGTAACAGCAGACATGGTAGTTTTCTCTTTATTAATTTTTAACTGGATAGCTAAAAATTTACCTGATTTATTACTATGTTCAAAGTTTTCTATTCAAAGTCTTTGTGCTAAAAATTGTGTCTTTTTGTCAATAATTCCAAGAAGTTCTAATTTAGCTTTATGTAATTTGCTCATTAACTCTTCTTCTGTGGATGTCTCTAAAGACTTAATGATTTCTTCTAACTCCTGAATATGTTTGTTTTCTGTTTTTTTCTTATGTGATGAGAAAGAGATTATTTTACCTCTCATCACTGCCTTTCCTGCCTCCCAGAGAACAGATGCTGATGTTCCAGGCAGGTCATTGTGTTCTAAATATAAAGCCCACTCCTTTTAAAAAAAATTCTATAAAACCTTCGCAGTGATGTATTAAACCTCCAGTTTTTGCTTGGTGGGATTGTCTTCTTGTTTACCAGAGTTAAAGAAACCGGAGCTTGGTCGCTGACAACTATGGGGTGTATCTCAGTGTCTGAAATGTCAGCCAACAATGAGCTGCTGACTAGAAAATAATCCAAACGTGAATGAGAGTGATGGACGTAGACTTTAGATAATCCTTAAAGCGTTAGTTTTATTTATTCCGCATCGAATGGTAGATTGAAGGCACCACGGGAGCTCATCTGACTTCATCGTGACACGAGCGAACACTAGTATCTATTTGTCTGTCTATCTATCTATTATCTATCTATCTATCTATCTATCTATCTATCTATCTATCTATCATCTATCTATCTATCTATCTATCATCTATCTATCTATCTATCATCTATCTATCTATCTATCTATCTATCTATCTATCTATCTATCTATCTATCTATCTATCTATCTATCTATCTATCATCTATCTATCATCTATCTATCATCTATCATCTATCTATCTGTCTGTCTATCTATCTGTCTATCTGTCTGTCTGTCTGTCTGTCTGTCTGTCTGTCTAGAAAAATTTGCATTTTTTTCTTTAGCAAATTCTATGTTTAAAATATTTTATTAAACACAACAAAACATCAGAAACTGGTCTTATTCTTAGTAACGTCTTAAGTTGTAAGTGCATAATTTTTGGTTATAGTTTAATATCTGTCATGTGAAGTAAAGTTAGTTTTACTAAGTTAGTTAGTAAATAGTTTCTGATGAATGTGCCTGCGATTACTTAAAGACTGTTTTAAGTCTGCTTTGATTGCTTGTACATATTGTAAATGAGAACAGTCCGTTGTCTTTATGTCTAATTGTTTTGTCTTGTATTATTTTTTTAATCTTACCTGTTTTTCTTTGATGTAACGATGTGTCTGTTACTGCAACCTCTTGACCATATCGTTGTAAATGAGAATGAGTTCTCAATCGACTTGTCCGGACAAATAAATAAATAAAGTTCAGCTCTTATTTTGAAATTAGTCATCCGGGTCTCTACAGGCCAAACAGACTCGCGCTGACTCGGACCGTAGCGTGACGTCGTAGCGAAGAAACAAGAGGTCCCACCGGAAGTATCCTGTTTTGATGTCAAAACAAAAGCACATAAAATGTGGAGGAGCTATCTTTCAGCAAATTTTACAGTTAAATGTTATTGATTTATGTCGTCAGATAGTTCAGATAAAATCTTAACTTACAAATTTGTGTTTATTCTTAATAATTAATCTTTTATATAATCATCACCATGCATTAATTAAAGTTGCACTCAAGCAAACGATGAAGAATCACAAAATAAATATTTTATTTAAAACAAAACGGACCAAAGGATATTCAACTCTAATTTCCCTCTGGAATTAACTTTAATTTCCCTCTGGGATTAATAAAGTATTTTTGAATTGAATTGAACAACTACATTACACTTTGGCTAAATGCCACGTTGTTTTTAATCTTATAAACTAAAATGGGAACTGCTTGAGAAAGAATCAAACACACTAACAATGTCAAAAGAAGAAGCTAAGCTAAAAACTGTCACCATGTCGAGGAACTAACCTTTCCCCTTCCTTTTGTTGCAAACCACGTGAATAAAGAGACTCTAATTTCGAAAGAATAGTTAGATCACAAGTTTGATCTGTCATATTTTCTTTAAAGTGTGTGTCATTTTTTTTTACTTTAGGACTTGAACAGTACATAATAGAAAACACTTTATTGTCCCTCAGTGGGAAATGTTGGTGTCACAGCAGCAAACATTCACAAAGGAGCCAAATAAGAGTAAAAAATAACGAATAAAGGGTAAGTAAAATTAAAAAATAAACAAGGAGAAAACACAAAAACATTTAAATCATTGAAAGTCCTCAAACATTAAAAAAATCAAAAAAAAAAAAATAATGCACACACACACACACACACACACACACACACACACACACATATATATATATATATATATATATATATATATATGAAAATACTAATTTGCATGCACATATTGATAGCAGTGTATTCACAGCAGTATGGAAATTGGAACAAGCAAATAAATAGTTTTATTAGCAATTTTTCAATTACACTTTAATTTAGGTTTGGTGTTAGCTCATTTGATTAAAATTACCATAAAATTATCACAAAAACTATTATCACTTTTTTATATTTGAGTCAATTTCTGATTATTTTATGCAACATATAAAATGTGGCTTATTTAGGAAAATAAAACAGCCAGTGGCCGGTTTAGTATATGCACAGCTTTTGAAATGTTTATAGTTTTGTCTGAACAAGTGCGAACATTATTTTTAAAGAGCTCTTCCGGAAGCCCAGTAGTAACTTCCGGTGACTTTTAAGCGATGGCAGGAATGGCCGCTATGATTACGAGAGGAAGAAGCTCCGAGACCCTGAAACTTTACTTCTAACGGCCCCGTGGAGGAATCTTTCTCCACTAGGATTTAGAAACACCCCGCCGCTGCGGATTGAGAGGGGACGAGACGCCGTAACGTAAGATTGGCACGGTTGGTGTCCAGATCGAGAAGGTGGACGCAGTTTACGACTTGGCAGTGCCGTTAGTGCGGCTGACTTTGATTCAAGGTAGCTGTTAGCTCTGACTGAGCCAGCTGTTGGCCACTTTGGCTCTGCTGTCCAACAAGTTAACGAACTGTGTGAAAGCGTCCCTCGTTGGAATATTCGAGTTGGGCTTGGCGCTGTTTACTTGCACACAGCATTAGGAGCGTTTACGGAGACTGGGGGGCCACGCGACAACAACTCGATACGGTGTGTTGTGGACATTCTCACCGCTAACCTCATCGTTAGCTCGCTGAGTTGGGATCCTGAAGGCTCGCCCATTTTCGGATCCTGCCCCAGCCATTGGCTAAGGGTAAATCAGCAGCCAACTCGTCCGGTCTCCAGGTTCACTACGATGGAAAGTCTAACGCTGAGTGATGTGGAGCAGAAATATTACTCGGACTTGTTCGTCTACTGCGACACGGACAACACCAAGAAAGTGGCATCCAACGGGAGAGTTCTTGACCTTTTCCGGGCGGCCCAGCTACCAAGCGAAGTTGTCCTGCAGGTAAGCTAACCAGAGCAGGTATCGGTTTTAAGCCGTTCTGACAACAAAGTAAGACTGAGCAGGAAACCTTGAGCTGTTAACAGATGAGGTATAAAGTTAGCCGTCTGTTAGTGACCTGAGGTTAGCTGGCTGGTTAGCAAAGCTGCGCAGCAACAGACACACCTTCTTCTGGCTAATGTTAGCATCTGTAGCTGCTAGTGGATCCTCTATCTGCTTCTCCTTCTGTTGTGTCTGAATCACTGCTGTTTTTTTATGTGGTCATATGAAAAGCAGAAGACGTGATATTCTCACCAATCCCGTGTCTGACATGCAGCAAAACAGACGGTGTGCCACAGCATGTAGCTTCTAATGTGATTTATGTGGTAAAGAGGGGTTTCAGGTGGGGCTGTAATACCCAGAGTTTAATCATTGAAGGGATCGTTTAACAGCTGTGTTTAATTGCAGTGTCACACAAATTCAGGTGTAAAAGGAAGAATGAATGAACCCACTTCTAAAAAAGCAAACTCTCTAAAAAGAAGCAAAACAATATTTCTAAAAAAATTGTGTAATTAATTTTGTACACAATAAAGCTACAGCTGTTTTTACTGAGTAAACCCACTGGACATTTTAGGATTTCGGTTGTTTCTGTCACTATCAGCCAAACTGATGTCATTTTCTTAGCTGAATCCCATCTTGAATCATTAATATTACAAAGCATTGAGAGCTGGTTTCAAGTGATCAAACTAATGATTAGTGTTGCAACACCCTGCAGCAATAATTGCGGCTGACACCACCCCGTTTCTGTCAGCGGTTTGTTTTTATACTAGTAGTGATGCCTTTCCTTTCGCAACTGTTCTTTTCACTCTTTCCTCAGACATTAACAGTTGATCTGTACTTAAATCAAACAGAAGCATCAGCCCTTGTTTAATCTTGTGCAGCAAATGAAGTTGCAACATGATCTTGGGTTGGGTGACCATAGGATGTAGCTGCCTCAAGTCATTTCATGTGTGATAATCCCATCTCTGGCACTTATCTGAGTCATGAGCAGCCAGTTAAACTGCAGCGACCCGTTCTCGTGTCTCTCAGCAGTCCAGTATTTGCAGTTTGTGAGTCAGCATCCTTCAAGGTCAGCAAGTCGAGCTGTGTGGAGGAATCAGCCGGCGTTGTACTTTGACAGTACACACTGAGCTCAGTGTTGTTGGCCCATTAGACGCTACGCTGTGGCATGACTGGTGCTTTTTGTGCTCACACACCGATAAAGTCCTCTGTCAGCAGCAGGCAAGAAAGGCATCAGTCAGCTGTGGGAGTTCACAGTCCCGAGAGGCTGACACTTCATGGGTTAATCATCCACAGGTTGCAGACGTACTTGTCTTTCCTTTTTTATTTTCGTGAAGACATGATGATTTTTTAACTGTTTTTAAAGTTTCTCCTGTGTTTCCTGATGCTGTTGCGTCCAGCGGATCTGCTAATCGGCACAAAATGATTTAGAATGTGTGATGATCAGGCTTGTGGCTGCTCTCTGAAGTAAACGCTGTAAAACAGGCTGCTGCTCGGGCCACATTCAGAACCGGGACTAAGAGCTTTTGTCAGCTGTTTAGTGTTATGCTTGACATGAGAGAAGGGGACAGTTGATCCTAAAATACCATAATGCTACTTATTGAGAGTTGAACAGAAGCTGTCACAAGTTTGACTCCAGATGAAGACAATAACGTTAACAGTTCCTCGTGTGTGTGTGTGTGTTAGATCACAGAGTTATGTGGAGCCACTCGGCTGGGCCATTTCGGACGGAGCCAGTTCTACATCGCTTTGAAGCTAATCGCCATCGCCCAGTCTGGTCTACCCTTGAGGGTGGAAAGTCTCAATTCGGGTGAGTTCCTGTGTAAACCTCACCACTGCTCTACAGGCCGATTCCTTTTGCTGGCATCTCAGGAACACAGCATGTGTGAACGGGCTGCTGGACTTGTGTGTTTACCTTTACAAAGAGAGGATTCAGATTTTTTTTTTTTTTTTTTACTGTTTCTGGACTTTGGAGTAATTTGGGCACAACAATAAGGGACAGGCATTTGTTTATGTTTATTTATTTGGCAGACGCTTTTATCCAAAGCGACTTACAATTCATAACCTATAGGGCATGTTGTGATCTGTGGGGGAAACCGGAGTACCCGGAAGAAACCCACGCATGCATGGGGAGAACACGCAACTCCATGCAGAAAGGCTGCAGCTGAGTTTTCGAACCTGCAACCTTTGTGTTGCGAGGCAACAGTGCTAACCACTGCACCATCATGCAGCATTTGTTGTCATCTTTAGTTATTATACGATACTGTAGAGGAGCAGGAGAAGTTAACCTAAACGGTTTGTGTTCGTGGAATAAGCCGTTCAAGCAAGCAGCATTTTTAAAAACTTTATTTAAATTGTCCAACCCCCTTCCTTCAGGCTCCGCCCTTAAGCCACGCCTCCAGAATGGTAAATGGTAAATGTATTTGTATTTGATATAGCTCCTTCTAGAGTCCTGGAACCCCCCAAGGCGCTTTAATACAACACAATCAGTCATTCACCCATTCACACACACATTCACACACTGGTGGGGATGAGCTACGATGTAGCCATAGCTGCCCTTGGGCGCACTGACAGAGGTGAGGCTGCCGAGCACTGGCGCCACCGGTCCCGCCGACCACCACCAGCAGGCAACGTGGATTAAGTGTCTTGCCCAAGGACCCAGCGACAGACTGAGCAGGGCTCGAACCTGCAACCTTCTGATTACGGGGCGAGCACTTAACTCCTGTGCCACCATCGCCCACATCCAGAATGCAGGAGAATGCTGGACGCAACAGATGCTGTCAAGCAACCAAAAACATAACCTTATCTTACCTTTTTGCCCTGTCGTCGGCACCTTTTCTGGCATAATTCCCAACATAACACACCCACATAACCGCCACGTAGCCCCCAGGCGCCTGGCGACTCCTCGTAATCCGGCGTCCATCAGGGGTTCTTCACTGAAAGCTTAGAACAGAGAATCTACTGGGAACTAGACTGGCGATCCAGTGGGGAGCACTGGATTTATTACACTGGAAACCTCTGCTACTTCAGCTCAGGCTACATACCTGTATAACAATTTAGCATGCTAGCTAATATAGGTAGCCAGACTCTGGCTTCACTTCCTGTGTAGCTGCTCCAAGCCAAGAATGTGCAGTTTGTGCACATAGAGGGGTGTGTGCAGAGGAGGAGGGATGGTCAAAGGGCAGTTTGATGGATGGATCAGGATCCAATCCTTAAGAACGGGACGTCCACAATGATTGGATGTGGTATTTCCAGGATTGTACATTTGCCGTTGGTATGACGAGCATTTCAACAGTGTGGCAAAAATTCCCCGGGAAAACATCTCCTGCACCTGGATAAAACCATTCACGCTGGACCTGCTCTAATCACCTGGAGACACACAACGAGCTTACCTGGGCTCACAAGCATCGTTTGATCAGTGGACCAGTTTGATTGGTTAATGTCGGCCATGTTTCTGCATATTTGGCATTAAGAAGTCACTCCTCACTAGATGATCCGAGTTTGTAAACATAGAGACGGGAAGGTTTTAGCTTAATGTCACTCTCGCGCTGCCCACAGCGGCCAGGAACTATTTCACATGATGAAATATTTGATACCACATTTGGAGGTCGAGAGGCCGCTTCCTCCTGCGTCGTGGAGACGTACAGTGTTGTGGATTTTGGTTTAGAGACCGAATTCAAGCCTTCCACTCCTTAAAAACCATTATTTACACGTTGAAGTCTCCACCGCAGCAACATCACAAGTTTAAGTTCCATGTTTTGTGTGAGGTTCGACTTTGTAACCCAGCAGTAACGAGCTGAACAGACCTGTTTGTTTCATTTTGAGGAAGCAGCTGTGACCGTCTTTATGAGCTATAATCCCATCATCTGATTACAGCAGCTCTCTCTCTCTCGGCTGCAGAGAGTCAGAGTACCCCAAATGCTGACAGCTTCTGTGTCTTTTGCAACGATTTGATTAGGAAGCGTTGTGAATAATTATTTTATTTTCTTCCTCGTCAGTCAAGGATCTGCCGCTGCCCAGGTTCGTGGTTGGGAAGAACGAGGCTGAAGCGCGACACGCTGCTCTGTACCAGGATGCAGAGAGCCAGGGTCTGTACCCACCCTCCAGTATGGCGGTGATTCCCAGACCACCGGGCAGAGGTCACCAGAACAAGAAAGGTCCCCCCTCCTCTTCCTCCTCCTCCTCCTCTGCTTCACATCCTGCCCTCGAGGTCATCCAGCCTCTGGCACCGAGTGTAGAAGCTCAGGTTGGTGCTGCTGCTGTTTAAAAACACGCCTCTTATCTGTGTGGATGATTTCCTGGTTTTAGGAAAGGAAAAGATGCTTTTATTCATACGTTAGGGAACGAAGTGGAGCAGCTGCTGCAGTTCTACTTCCTGTTGCTTTCCAGTGGTCAGATGGGTTTTCTGCTGCTCGCTTTACTCGGGTCTTTCTGCATTTTGTTGTGAAATTCTGTCTTGAAGGTCCCTCGTGTGTTTGGAGCAGACATAACGAGTAGCTGGTTCAGACCGGTTCAGACGCACACGGAGTACTGTGATGGATTAAACCCGAAACGAAAACATTCAGATGTGTTTTCACCTCCTGGTGTTCATGTTTTAAGGGTTTAACTCACACAAACGACTTGATCTGTTTTGTTTATATGATTTCCAGCCTGAACCAACGTCCCCGGTCATCTCGCCTCACCAGTCCCCCCCCACCTCCCCTCACTCCTGGAGGAAACACAAGCGGCAACACAGTGGAGGAAACCCAGACAGGCAAGCAGTGGGGGCTGCAGCTGGAGCAGTGTGGACGCAGTTCAGAGAACCACCAGCAGGTTGGATTCATACGTTTTTCTTTCCTCTACCTAAACACGAGTTTTGAAAACAAGTTTGGGCTTCAGCGGTCGACTTTGTACTAGATTCTCTAATTTCCCTCTGGGATTAATAAAGTATTGATTGATGATCTGAATGTTCAATGATTTGTAAAATCCTTCAGCTCAAAATGTGGTTGTGATTTTTAAAAATACGTCGTTTAGTGTGAAAATGTCTTTTAGCTCAAGGTCCAGGACCAGTTGAAGGCATATGGGCGTCTCACTCGCCGCCGCCCCCCAGCCAGGAGAGCTGGGTCAGCTTTACAGCCGACACGCCGCCCTCCAGCACGCTTCCAGCAATGCATCCCTCATCAGTCCAGGTAAGCAGCGCTGCGTCTCTTAAAGTCGGGATGCAACACGTGTAAACCTGAGCGATGTAATCCTCTTTCATCAGACAGATGCTCCAAACACAAACGCGAGATGTTCCGACCACACTGCCGCCTCAAACATGAGTCAGCGTTTTCTATCGCTGCTTTGTCTGCCAGCGCCGTCAAGCTGAAGCTCAAGCAGCTGCTGTCACTTTTCAGGAGAAGCTGCTTGGCCTCGTGTCTAATTTTAGCCAGATTTTGTTTCCATTTTTACCATACCATACCAAGTTTATTTGTATTGCACATTTAAACACGGCACGAGAGCCGACCAAAGTGCTGAACGAAAACACATAATAAAAACAATCAAAAATAAAAACTAAATCCATTAAAATCAAGTAATTCAAATAGAAAATAAAAGAAAAAAGAGAGTAAGTTAGACTGAATTAAAAGCCAGAGAATAAAAGTGAGTTTTTTAAGGAGACTTAAAAGGGAAAGAGAGGAAGAGAGTCTGATCGGGAGGGGCAAATGGTTCCAGAGCTGCGGTGCACAAACTGAAAAAGCACGCTCCCCGCGGGATTTACAGCGGGAGCTAGGGACATGAAGAAGGTGCTGGTTGGCTGATCAAAGGGATCGTGTAGGGACATAAGGGTGAATGAGCTCAGACAAGTAGCCAGGTGCTAAGTTTATTGAGGGATTCGAACACAAAAACCAGGATCTTAAACTCTATTTGGAGATAGATGGGAAGCCAATGGAGATTTTCCAAAACCGGTGTGATGTGTTCTCGTTGCCTGGTGCCAGTCAGGAATCGGGCTGCTGCGTTCTGCACTAGCTGAAGGCGGGCGAAAGTGGAGGAGGAGATACCATATAGCACTGAGTTAGAGTAGTCGAGACGGGAGGTAATGAAGGCAAGGACAACTGAATGGAGATGGCGTCTTTTTAAAATGGGCTTAACTTTAGAGAGACTCCTCAGGTGGTAAAAACAGGTCTTAACTACCTGGTTGACATGAATGTCCATTTTTAGGTTGGCATCCATCACAACCCCTAAGTTTGTAACACGGGTTTTCAACCCACTTGAAATAAAAGGAAGGGTCAGTTGGGGGCTTGGAGAAGTCTCAGGGCTGAAAATGATAGCCTCTGTCTTGGCATCATTCAGCAGGAGAAAGTTTTCAGACAGCCAGCTCTTCACATCATTGAGACATTCAACAAGGGGCTTTAAGGACTCATTAGGCTTCACGGAGGCATATAATTGGCAATCGTCTGCATATAAATGGTAGTCAACGTGGTGTTTTTTAAAAATGTCACCCAGGGGCAAAATATATAAATAAAAGGGGTCCAAGAATAGAGCCCTGAGGTACACCACACCACTGATTTTAGTTTCTTAGATCAGATTTAGGTGCATTAAAACCAACGATTCAAGCTGCTGAATATTTTTACTCGTGTTTATTTTCTTTTACCAAAAAAAAAAGTGTAAAGTCCAGGGATAGGTTGACTTTTCATCTTATGTTTCCTGTAGGAAAACACAACGATACGAACCGTGGCCTCCGCCTCAACGACCAATGAGATCCAACGACAGTCCAGTAGCTACGACGACGCCTGGAAGATCACGGACGAGCAGAGGCAGTATTACATCAACCAGTTCAAAACCATTCAGCCTGACCTCACTGGCTTCATACCTGGTTGGGAACACAGAAAACACACACGCAGAAATCTCACGAGAAGAGTGTGTTAATTTATTTTTGTGTTCCAGGTTCGGCGGCAAAAGAGTTTTTTACTAAATCCAAATTACCGATTTTAGAGTTGTCACATATTTGGTGAGTCATCGCTAGTATTCTGTAGGTGGTAAAACTGGAGCAGTCTTACAGCAGCATCAAATTTCCTCACCAGACTGTCTGATGTGTCCGTAGGGAGCTGTCAGACTTTGATAAAGATGGGGCGCTGACCCTGGACGAGTTCTGCGCTGCTTTTCACCTTGTTGTCGCCAGAAAAAATGGCTACGACCTTCCTGAGAAGCTGCCTGAGAGCCTGATGCCAAAGCTGATCGACCTGGATGACTCAGCAGGTGAGTCGCTTCCTCTTTTTTGTCTCTGATGCACCTTCTCCATATTTGTCAAATTCGGACTCTACGAGGCAACGGGGTTCATTCCCACCGTCAGACTTTTATGTTCTATTACTAATCAA